GAGAGGTAGAAACAAACAGCCAATGTGTGTCTGTGTGTGTTATGTTCAGGTGTTGTCACGTAAATAACAGTGCCCAAGCAATAAACAGGATTTTATTTATTTTTACACTATATTTTCACTGAAAGCTGACCGAATCCGACACGAGCCCAAATACAATTTATAGCTACTTTTCTGACCAAACCCGGCCGACCTGTCAGGTACTGTTGGGCTCGGATCGCCACACTCTAGTGTGTGTATGTGTCCCCTATTGGGGCCTATCTGAATTTCTGTCTTTGAGAGATATTATTTTGTAATATAACTGAATTTTCTGTCCATACATATAAATTTTAAATATATTAAAATTTAAGGCATCTTTGAGTAAACTGCGAGTATCATTTAAGTAGGCTATGTCGTGGCCGGCAGAGTGTCGTCTTTTTTGAAAATCAAAATATGGTCACCCTAACCTCCATATATGGTGGTCACTGGCTATTCATGGCCAAGGATGTATGCTAATTGCTGATGAGCAGAAGTGTGCTTTGAGTTTACGATTGATTGGCATTCATGAATATACACACGTGCCTACGATCAAATCCGAAAATCAAATTCTGTGGTGTACATGAACCCGCAGTAGGTTTTTAGCACCAAGTTTGTTCATGTGCAAATCTACTCACAGATTTACTGACATTTCATGAGTGAGACCCACTGTCTCTAAATTTATTCACTGGTCCATAACTGTATATTTCTTGTGATGGTAAGACCCATCTGTCCATTCCTTCTAACTTTTGCTTTCAGATTGTCTTCTTTAAAGGGGCAAAAAGCGAAATCGTTTCACCGCTAGGTTTGCTGTTGGGCGCTGCCTGTAGACCAAAACAAAGTGTGTCATGAGCCACACCTCCCTCTACCTCTGCTCTCCACCCCCCACCCCCCACTCCCCTCGTTACCTATCTGTGTAGCCGAGCACCGCAGCACCTCCACTGACTATTACAGATGGTCCCAGTGTTTCCTCCGTAGGCTCCACTTCACTCAGCTTCACTCAGCTGTCCGATAAACCCGCTGCTTCTTCCCACTTTAACCTGAATAACAAACCAGGGCTCGGTGCTCCGGTNCACTCAGCTTCACTCAGCTGTCCGATAAACCCGCTGCTTCTTCCCACTTTAACCTGAATAACAAACCAGGGCTCGGTGCTCCGGTTGGATCCAAAGGGAGAGCCGGGGCTAGCTGGGAAGCTAGCGGAGACTAACTGGCTGTGCTTCCCTCCATCATGCTGCGCTAGCCGCTCCCAGCTAGCCCCGGTTCTCCCTTTGGATTCAAACGGAGAGCCAGGGCTAGCTGGGAAGCTAGCGGAGGCTAACTGGCTGTGCTTCCTTCCGGTCATGCTCCTAGCTAGCTCTGGTTTGTTATTCAGGTTAAAGTGTGAAGAAGCAGTGGAGTGAAGTGGAGCCTGAGGAGGAAGCACCGGTTAGCCCCGGTTTCACTAGAGGCAGATACACTTGCTACAGGGGTGAGGAAATAAAACCTAAACAGCCAACTTAGTTTGGCTTAGTTTAGCGGGAGCGTATCTATGTTTCCAGGGTTCTATGTTTCCCGGGTTCTATGTTCCCCACTTAACCCTGCAAAAGAGGTTATATGTTCCCCGCTTAACCCTGCAAAAAAGCTTCTATGTTCCCCGCTTACACAAAAAAGGTTCTATGTTTCCCAAGTTCTATGTTGCCCGCTCAGCCAAGCGGGAAACATAGAACCCTTTTTGCAGGGTTAAGTGGGGAACATAGAAACATAGAACCCTGGAAACACAGGGATGACCCCAGTTTAGCAGTTAGCGATGTCTTTCACTCACTCTTGGTCTCTGCTGTGTTTAGCTATTACGCTGCTTACTTTAATGATGATAGTACCTGTAATAAATATTATAATATAATATATTTGCTGAGATGGAGGCGAGGCTTAGTGAGTAGAAGAGCTGGTAGAAGCGCTCCATAGCTGTTACTCCAGTAGCCAGTGGCAGCCGACTCGGCTCGAGTCATCGCTGGATCCCGGCTAGTGCTAACACCGGGAACTAACGCTAACGTTCCTACTCTTCTCCGTGAGTGAGAGGGATGTTTTAGCCTGGCTACATTTTACAATGCTAATTGCAAATGTTAGCTGGGCTGCTGGGATACACACCTAACACTAACCCATTGCAGGGACAGAGCCACTAATAACTCAAGCTCCGGACATTAACCCATGCTACGATTGTAACATTAAATTTAATTGAACCGACATAGCGACATGTGCCAAACGTTACTGTAACACTAATTAAAACAGACATTTGACTTTATGTTGTACCTGTCCAGGAGAAGAAGAGCTAGCTCAAATTGTAGCTCCTTTAGTCCTCGCAATGCTCTCCACCTTGGAAATGCAAGGCCAATGTTAATCCGAGTTCTGTCCCTTTCTTTATCTGACAACTTCTTTGCCAACGACCGTTGTTTCTTTAGAGGTAATGTCGGATCCTGGTCGTCCTCGGGTGAACGTTTGTTCCGCTCTCTGCCATTTCATTCGAAAATACACGCTGCCATTGCTCACTGGCTGTAGCCTTTTATAGGAGGGGAGGGCCAAGGGCTCCGAGAGGAGGGAGGAGGAGGCAGCGATTCACATGAACGTACATGAACACGCAGCAGGACCGGCTTGTAAACAAGGGGCTGGAGATTAACACAGAGAGAGGGTGTGTGAGGTCATGCTATACTCCAGATGAAATTACACCCCTAGTTCTTCACATAGCGATTTTTTAAATTCCTTCAATCTAGAAATGATGAATTTCCGCTTATTGCCCCTTTAAGTAACGGCATGTCATTAAGATGTGTAGCTGTTATGTTTCCTTCATTTATATAAAATGTATATTGTAATGATCTCAGGTGCATCTTTTGACTTGTTAATGATGTCACTAAACAATACAAGATAATAATGATACATATTTCAAATGTATCATCAGTCAGTTTTTTTTATCTGTTTAGTCAGTGTCTCCTCCAATCAATGCCAATCAGCCACATAGCAAGCTTTTACACTGTTGATCTATTTCCAGATAAAGAAGTTAGCCCGCAGACAACAGCAACAGCAAGAGCAACACAAAAGGCAAAGGCTAAGCCAAGGTGAGGAATTATCGTGTGTGTGTGTGCGTGTGCGTGTGCGTGTGCGTGTGCGTGTGTGTTTGTGTGTGTGTGCGTGTGTGAAGGAAAAGCACAACTTATGTCCACTTGCAAGATGTAATCTGTCCATTGTAATTGTTATGACAGTAACTGAGAGCTAATTAACTTGTGAATTATTTGGAGAAACAGTTAAAAATAACTGATTTATTATTGGAGCAATAATCAGAGTGGAGTCACTATGCAAACACTTCCAGTTTTGTAGGCTTTAGAATGAGTCCCATACTGAGCCAGACTGACATCTCTGCTGGTAAATATAAGCGTCTTTGACGGTGGGGCTATAAATTGTGGGCCACAGCCATGATTTTCGCTGCTGCACAGCTCTTCACAGCTATAGGCTTATTACCACTGTGGTCTCACAGCAGACAGTTTAGATAAGTGTCTCAGTGCTTTGGCAAACACTGCCTCTATCTGCTCAGGGACTTCCGGCATGTCAATATTGGCATAGCAGCAGGGTTTATTATAGTGGAAGCTGCTGTTGTTAACCAAATGAGCTAAGCAAACCAGCAAACGGAGGTTGTTTGAAATTGATGTTAGGATGAGATGAAGCCTCATAGATGACTGGTGAGACACCTTCAAGATCAAACAACCAGTTGGTTTAGACAGTGCTTTTACAGGATATGCTTTAATACGATTTTTTATTTTTTTTGTAAACCATTCATATCTGTAGAAAAAACATGACTGTAGTGTCTGTGTTCACAGCTATAAATATGTTTGGTGCTCAGTGCTCCAGAGCATGAGAATCATTTTTTAAAAATAGATTTTTAGTCATTTGTATAGTAATATATATTCATACAACCATACAGGCAAGTATGTCAATATGTATTCATGGACAAATGAAAAGAAAATGAATAAATTAAAACAGCTGTTCAAACAATAAACACACAGACACAGCCTATATATATATATATATATATATATATATATACCCTCTCCCCCTCTTAGGGTGGTGTCTATGTCATCCTCAAGCTCGGGTCCTCTACCAGAGTTTTTTAAGGGTTCTGTGCAGGATCTCAGCTGTTCCTAGGACTACACACTTTTGGACTGAGGCTTCAGATGTTGCTCCTGGAATCTGCCGGGGCCACTCTCCCAGTCTGGGGGTCACTGCCCTGAGTGCTCCTACTACCACAGGGACCAAGTCAACCTTGACCTTCCACATCTGTTCCAGCTGTTCTTTCAACCCTTGATACTTCTCCACTTTTTCGTGTTCCTTCTTTCTGATGTTGCTATCAGCTGGTATTGCCACATCTATCACCGCTGCCCTCTTCTCAATGAGGCTTTTACCTGGTTAAATAAAAGATATATATATCTACTGGTGTTTGTCAACCACCACTACTTCTGGCTGGTTAGCCAGCAGTTGTTTGTCAGTCTGGAAGCTGAAGTCCCACAGGATCTAAGCCCTGTTGTTCTCAACCACCTTTGGTGGTGTGTCCCACTGGGTACTTCGAGTCCATACTGGGTACAGATATTCCTGTACACTATCTCAGCCTTTTGGTTGTGCCTCTCCATGTGCGATGATCCTGCTTGCATCTTACACCTTGACACTATGTGCTGAACCATCTCAGGGGCATCTTTGCACAGCCTGCACCTTGGGTCTGATCTGCTGTGGTAGACCCTGGCCTTTATGGCCAATGTGCTTAGGGCCTGTTCTTGTACTGCGATGATTAGTGCCTCCGTGCTGTCTGGCCGTCCAGCATTCTCCAGCCACTGGTAGGTCTTCTTGATATCAGCCACCTCCTTGGGTCCCAGGGCTTGTCCCTCCATGTTGTTTGCTCCTCCGCCTCTTTGCCCTCATCAGGTTTCTATTGTCATCGGTGCTGCTAGGCATTCATGGAGTGCATTTAGCTTCTTCAGCCAGCATGTATGGATTATATCAGGGCCCGGTGCTGTCCAACTCTCATCTTTGACACTCTTTCCTGGGTGTCTGCCATTAAAACTCCCTGAACTGATTTCTCATGATGCTTTCAAAGAAATCTTAAAGGACCTGGAGCTTGAAAGTTGTCGGAAGTGTTCTTGCACTTAAACTCCTATATTACCTATGCACACCTGAAACTATATTTTTTTATCATTTCTGTATGTATGAAACCTGAATGTTATGTGTTTTTATTGTGTGCTGCCCTCTTGGCTAGGTCACTCTTGAAAAAGAGGTTTCTTTTGATCTCAACGAGTTTTTACCTGGTAAAATAAAGGTTTAGAATTGAGATGGCTACTGGTTTTTGTTCGGGGAGGTTGCTGTGGCCAGCTCTTAGGTCTACTAGCCATTGGGCATCAGTCTTGTGTGATGCTTCTCTTTCCCATATGCCCTTACAGTATGTTTCCATCTCAGCTCTTGGTGGGTCTGACCTGCTGTTATTTCTCTGCCACTGAGAGAACACCTTGGCTGGTTCAGTGGAGAACATCCTGTTTATTCTCCTGGCATCTACTTCTTTGGTGTATCTCTTCAGCTGGGTGGCCAGAGCTGTTAGTCTTTGTTTGGCAATTTCAAGGGCCTCAGGAATGGAGAGCTTGTTGTATTTCCTTGGTACTCCTTTATTCACCATGTTCCCTCTGTGTAGTTCTGCTAGTTGGGTAACTTCTCTCTGTGTTGCCTTTATCTTGGCCTCCAACCGTCTCTTCCATGGATGGTTCTTCTTCCATCCCTGGTTCTTATGTATCACGTCCATCTTGTATCCAAGCATCTCCAGGATTACTGTTGCTGTACTGTGAATTAGCTTACAGTGATGATGTGAATCAGCTCTCCGTGATGGTCCTTGCAGGGATGATATTTAGGGCAGCAGTCACATCTTCTGGCAGTTCATCTGAAGGTACTTGGCAACTCAGCTTCAGGATTCATCGGAGGCTCCAGGTTTCCAGTTTGCTCATGATCTTCCTTCTCAGGTCAGCTGCTCTTACATTGGGGCTGTTTGTATTGACTGGGGCTTGGTACCCAATCCCGGATTGTGGGGGTGATGATGACATCCCCCCACTGACCTGTCATCCTGGCTCTTTCTTGCTGTAGCATTGTTGAAGTATTTCATTGATCTCTAGTTGTGATAGTAGTTGGCAGTTGTGGATGTTGGAACACTGTGCTACCAGATGTTTCTTAGTTGGTCTTGATTGTGGGTTTCGAGGTTTCAATAGGTCCCACATTCTCTGCATATATCCCCTCTCTCTGGAATTGCTGATGTAGTAGCATTCCATCAGTTCTGTGTTCTCCGCCCTTCTCCATGTATATCTTGTTCCAGTGAGCCATTTGTCATCAGATTGCCCTGGTTCCCTAGCAACTGATGTGGACCTTGTTAACCCGGGTGACATCCCAGCCGGTATGACTTCATCAGTATTGTAATCACTCATATCTGAAGTAGGCAGGTATAGCATTAGGAGTCTTGCCTAAGGACCCTTACTGTATGATGTTCACCAATTTTTATTGTCTCATATCAGGATAAAATCCTATCATCCAATCATACCCCTTTTCCATCAAATTAGCTCTAGTTCTTGAACCAGTTCTGTTCAGGATTCTTGGAACCTTGGTGCTATTCAATGAACCCACTTGCATTTCCATCAGTTTTGAGTGAAACCATTCTAAACAAGGAAATGTCATAAACCAAGGGTGTTGCATAATGCACAATAGAAATAAACAGTGGAAGCAAGTTTACCAGTCACATTGATTAGCTACAAACTTTTGTTCTGTTATTACATTTATTTGTTTTTACCCCAAAAAAGCGTGGACCAACTATCAGTTACCGTTGTTGCCCTATCCATCCTCTCCCTCCAACCTCTAGAATAAGACACGTCGACTTATGTCATCACGATTTGCACTTCAAGTCAAAAACCTGCTTTTTGTTTGGTTTCAGCTGTGAACCAAGTTTTTGGGTTTTGAACCAATTTATTTTTTTGGTCAAAAGGCTCTGAACGGTTCAAAATTAGGTCTAGGAAGTGGAACAGAACTTGTTCCATGTTGGTGGAAAGGGAGTATCAGAGTCTGGAGCACTTTCCAAAACACACCGTCAACATTACTGATGGCATAACAATGAACACACTGAGTTTTTGGTGGATTTAATTTGTAAAACAACAGAAGCAGCTGTACCCAAAACTACAGTTACATAATTTCAGAAACAGTACAAAACCATTCAAGATGCAATAAACCCGCACACAGTCTGGAAACATGGACAATCATAAAGCAGCAGCCTACAAATCTAATTAGAGAAAAAAAGAAACTAAAATGCAGCAGGAGCTGATGGGATCGCATTTCACTAGAGTTACATGACTTTGTGTGACAAAGACGTGATTGTTTATTTGATTGACCGAGCGACCAACTGGCCAACCGACTGATTAACTGATTGATCGATTGATCTTTTGAGATACAGGTACTCGTTCAGGTTGAGGTACAGTACAGACACTGAATCTGGTTCAGGTTCACGTTTGAGTAATGATGTGTGGAAAGCTGTAAACTGTAATCAGTCATTCATTACACATTACTCAATGAGTAAGTATTTTACTTTAAAGCAAAAGCCGTAAAAGGAACACATTATGTCATGCATTACTACTACAGCTCTGCCAAAGGTGCCTTTAAACTGCAGGTTTATCTTATTCCTTCTCTCAACCAATATCACAGCTGAATCTGACTGCCAGTCCCTCATCAACAGTCCCTCTCCTACAATGGTCTGTGAGCAGTTTTGGAAAGGATCAAGACCACAACGGGCTAGCTCCCTGCTATAAGGGTCTGCGGGCAAGCCAAAGCTGGACCAGCATCAGTCAAAAATAAACACAACTATGCACAAATTACCATTAAAAATATAATATCTATACAAGACAGTATTGAAACTTAGTAGTAACCATGAAAAAAAACTGAACCAATAATTACAAAAATAATTTGTAATTTCTGAAAAGAATTCTCCATCTACACGTCTGGATGTAACTAATATGGCTGTACAGACCACCACTGTCTACAATGCTGTCTCATAATC